ATATGAGCCATTACATCGAGATAAGCTGTAAATGACGAGGAACAAGAAGAAGAGCTGTGTGCTACCGCCATTATAATTAGTACCTCGGATGTCAGTTGCTATTAAAATGAAATGTTATTTAACATTACCGCAATGTCACGGTGAGGTGTTAATGTATTTGTTAAATCATTTTTTTGTGACGATAGGACTTTTTTTAAAGCATCTCAGTTCAATCACACACGTTTATGAGGTTCTAATTCCTCTATTTCAAGTAGCAATAAAATGCTCTTATAAGGGTTATAAAAATAACGCCGATTAAAATTCTCGCATCTCCACTTTTTTTTGTCTATAGGCGCTGCGATGTTTATGGCGGATTTCTGGAATTGAGAATAAATTAGGGAGAAAGGTGGGAACGAGCGGTTTGTGATTTTTCTAACCTGTGTGCAGAAGAGGAAATCTGAAAAGTGGTCCACTAAACACGCCATACCAATTAATAATTCACAAAGTAAAGCACTTCTACTTGGTACGTTCATGAGTACATGGAAACGCTGGAGATATTTTTTCCAGACGTCCTAATCGCCCTTTGTGAGTACGCTCTTCCGAAAATCCGTTATGGAGATATAAGGAAATATATCCGATCAAGATAAGGGGTCGAGGAGGAGGATTATGGTTGGTAGAGATTGATTCCTTTCGTTGAAACCTTCCATTAGAGTAACATGAAGGATAAAACCTGTTCCACTCCAGATATTCTAATCATGAATCTTACCAAAAAGTTGGACACATAATTCAAACAACTGAAATCGAATAAATAGCCTCCTAAGAGCCTTTAAAACTTGTGAAGGTGTCTAAAAATGATCACAGAACCAGTTAAACAAACAAAAATTTACGTCTTTGTTTGGTAAAAACCAAAATGGTATTTTGGGTAAGGCAATATGAAAGCAATTAAAAAAGTCGTCTTGATTGTTTGAAACCAAAATTACGTCTTAGGTGAAAACCAACCAACTCAATTCAATCGACCAAACACAAAGAAACCTATTAACCATAAATGGACTCTACGGTCTAGAATGGCATACCAAAGTTATCCCAGCGACAGTAACTAAATAATGGTTCTTTCCAGGCTTGCCTAAGAGATTTCCTTGTAGTGATCTTAATTCAGTTAAAATCCTTTGATTAAGTTTGCGTGTATGTCTTTCATTCCTGATCGCCGTTGATTGATCCTTTCCTGACTTGGTGGTGACTTGATGGCGCCTTGATATCGCTCTAAAAATTCGCTAAATTACCAATTGCATTTTTCGCATTTTCCTTATACTGAATAAGCTTGTGTTTTAAGAGTCCTTTCATCTATACATGATTTATACTCATATCCAACCGAAATTCTTACTTCTTCATTTATCAGTTTTCAAAATCTTTTAATAATTTGATTAGCTGTCCTGCATATTCCGCACTATTGTCCCCTATTTCTGCGTTCCTGATGCGTAGGTACCGCTCAATCAAATATTGTTCCCCGCTACCGATGCTCCTGTTTCCTTACATGAAGTTGGCTCGTGTTTAATTTGGTTCCCATTCTCCTAAAATTTTCCCTAAACGTTTTAAAATCTCTGTGTCTCAGCTACCGTGTCGGAATAAATCTGGGCCCTTTCATTCAACCCCTAATCAAATTCACCTCTAACCGAATTATCAATCTATCACACATTCAGCTACTTCCTCGCAATCCGCTACTTTCTTTAATAATGACTAATTCTTCCATTTATTTCTGTTTCTTTATAGATCCTGCAGGATTTTCTGATTGATCAAATCGTGCAGATTTTGAAGAGACTTCACAATCTGCATATTTATCATGCTCCGAACTCTTCCTGTTCAAAGTATCTTTCAAGTTTCTTAAATCCTTTTTCAATTCTTTCAATTTGTGGTCCTTCAGTTTTTCGAATTTTCAATTCCAATTCGTTCGATTTTCCGAGTTCTTCAAACCAATTTCCTTCGAATTCTTCCAATTATCTTTAGAGCTTTTCAACTATCTTTCCATCTATCCATTCTTCGGCTTGGGTGCTTATTCCCATGTTAGAATCCATCTTTAACTTCTTCAAATATACCAAATTCTTTATTTTGTTTTTAAGCGGATTTTCCAACGAAGTTACGTACTCCACTTTCTCTGACCGCCCGTCTGTCCATCTGTCCGAAACCTTCATTACCTACTCCTACAGTTTTCAATACATTTAGTTCGTTCTTTCTGTAGTCGGTAGTTTATTATAGCTCCGGCACCTGATCCAAGAAAAATCTTAACGATATGCGCATGCGCAGACTAGACAATCGTAACTTCCTTTATGTAGAGATGTCTTCTTTTTAACGACACATCATTGTAATATACGTAGATTGGCAGCGTTAACTTTCCTATTTATGAATATATCCTTTTCTTCGCTTTATCAAAATACTTGTGTCCCTTTAGTCTTTCGGAAAGTACTAATCTTTGTATGGAAAATTCGTTAAAGTTACTGCGAAAATTTCTTCTTGTTTTTTTTAATCCTCTTGGGATCTTCAACACCTATGGTTTTTTTTTCAAACCTACCAGGGTTTCCATATTTTCAATTCGTTGCTTTGGGGGTTTCGGATGTTCGAATCTTTTGAAATCCATCAAATCCTTTGAATTCCCCATTTATGTTTAAAAATTAATAAATCAGATTTGTAAAAATTCCTTCGATACATAGAATTTATATCATCCTTTAGTTTACTACGTCATTCCCAAAGCTTTTCAAAAGTATCATATGCCGCGTCAAAGTTTGCCATACTCTTTCCAAATGTACATAGAGCACAGACGATCTCTAGAGGGCAATGAATGTGTTCCAGAAACGCACAGACCATTTGGAAATTTTTAAACATCTACCTTCTAAAAAGATTCCAGAGAAATCTAAAACTCTGAAAGTCTTCTAAGCACTTTTTTTTAGATTTACACATTTACCAGTATGACAAATTCCATACGTGCATAAGGAACGAGAAAATAAAGCGCGTTAGGATAAACGCGAGTGTTCAAAAAGATAAGAGTCGAAACGTCACAGAGCTGCCGGTTCTAGAAACCGTCGCTACGGGTCATGAGATTGACTACACCTGCCCATGTAGAAAAAACGCAGCTGAATCCGGGTTCTCTGGGGGACCGTTTCGGTTTTTCAGATCGGTGAATGGACTATGACAAATTTGGTGGGGGAGCACCAATCTATGCAGGTCGAGCGCTGCATCTTTTTCGACCGCGTATTGAATTCTTAGCCAGAGGGTAGAGGCAAAACTACGTAACCTAAATGCAAAGATTTGTAGGCCAGGTAACACGAAACTTTTCGTCAAGCTTTCAAGGTGGAACATGTGAGTTGTGTACGCATTTTTGAGAAATTTCATTGTTAATTAAAATTTCGAACCGAAAGTAAAATAACCGTAGTAAGTATAAGCGCGCAACCGGAAAATTGTGCTTTTCTGCTCTGTTTAACAAAACCAATAATAAAAGGCAACAAGGGAACTTCGTCGTGTAGTAGGCGGTATTATGTTCAACTGAAAATACGATGCGCATAAGTTACTTTCTTAGTATATACGTGAATATATGGCGGGTCATTGAATGATCGGATTAAACTGCGCGTATTTAAATAGATAAATTGTTACTACAAAGATTAAATTACAGAACGCTTCATTGCGTTATATCTGGAGTGGCTGATTACGTTAAACACCAGTTGTGCACCTAATTTGTTTATACATTATACACATAGGTATATTATAAATAAAACGGCAACCGGTAAAATGGTTAAAGACAACTAATTCTTCCCTTTGGCCGCAGCCAAAACCATAAGTTCTAAGGGTAGACTGTGACATTTCCACGCTACGAAACGTCGGTGATTTATTACCATGAATACTCCAACTTTCAACTAATTAAATTACGAAAAAGCTGAAGCACAGTGTTTTCTTGAATCAGATTGCGTCAGCCATATCTAGAAATTCCAGTAACCAAATTCATACAAGAGGTGCGATCGTATTGCTCAAGGCGTTCCACTATCTCATGTGCCATTGTTTATCAAAATCAATTAAATTTTACTTTGATAAAGTTCCCTTACCAAACTTCGATAACACAAATCAATTAAAACCTACTAAATTATTGAACAATCTTTACAGCTACAAATTCATCAATAATAAAGTCCCCTTGTCAACAAAATTCCACTAGATTTCCTGATAAAACTTTGAATAATGTTAAATACAGAGTGTGCCGCTGGCCATTTCCATAAGTCAACCACAAGTGCCCAATATTCACGTCAATTTACTCCCGGTTCATCCAGGATTAATTTCTCATCTTGTATTACGCGCGCGATGAACTCAAATTAATGACCACTGTGGTCCACTTGTACGGCAAACCCGCTTGATTCCAAAAGTATTCGTGAAGTAAATAAATTTTGAATGTACGATTACGAGAAGTCGCAGGTCACATTGCTCGAATGTCTTATTCGCTTGTACACGAATTTCGTTTCATTAAATTTGAGTGCCAAACGTGTTGTTTGTGAAAAATGGCTTGTATCCCTGTCATGGCGACGTCTTAAGTTGCACTTTGATCAATTATAACTTGTTTTGGGATGTGTGGTATTTGTACTTAAGACGCGCTTGTTATTGACATCTCTAATAAATACGATTTTAAGTGCGAGCTTTTTCTGCTCAACAAGGCTAAACTTAATTAAGTGCTCGAGAAGATTGGCAATAAATTATGTGTAAAACTTTACGGCACACTCCTCCTGCTATATGGCGATGCGATGTAAATTTTAAATTGAAATTGGTTCCCATCGTCAATAAATTTGTCGATTTTGGTGAACGGTTTATTTCCCTCGATCGAGTCCCACATTTTGGTTTTTGTTAAAAATTAACAGTACTTTCGTATGTAAATGTAAATGCGACTTCCTACTGCATTTTTTACCACCAGACAATTTGCATTTATCCGCGGTTAAATGAGGAAAATTACGGATAATTTATGTGGGAGATTTTAATAGCGTACTGCAAAGGATTACCTTTCATCATTCCAATTAATCTCAGGTAGCGGTAGGGTTTCAGTCTGTCGTCGTAGTAGACGTTGAAAACGTGCAAATTGGTCCCGGGCACCAAGGTCCACATTTCCGATCTTTGAAAACGCACTTTTTTGGGTCGAATCAGCTCGGCGCAGCTCGCCCGTTCACTTTCGATTTCGATCTTCTTCAGCAGAGAGTAACCGATAATTTCTTTCAGGTTCGTTTTGGGGGTTGCAGGGATGGGACTTACGGGAAGGGTTAGAAGGAAGCTGACGTAGAATGTTAAAAACACACTAAGAAGTATGACTAGGGTTACGTAGTGGAGACGCGGTTGCATTACCACCGTGTCACAGCGTCTTCGATGGCGCGTTTACCGTCAATGAAGTGGGCTTCGTCCATAAGAATACTTGAAGGTGGTAGTGGTGGAGTAGCGGTAACGACCATTAGAAAGGTGACTTAGTCATATCTGTAAGTAAATATGAGAAAATTGGATTTCTGTAATACGACGGTCGTTAAAATCTCCCACGAGCATTACGTCATATTATGAACTTGTTTTCTCAAATGTAGGTTTCGATTTTTTTCATTTGAATTTCAAATACGCCACTGGCAGAGATGCTGCTAATTGAAAAAGTTAATTACCACACGACAAAAATTAATTATCTTCGTTATTTACTTGTTTTCAGTAGTCGCCAAAGTACCTGCAAGAATTAATTGTCCTCATAACGGTTCCTTGCACAAAAAAAAGTAAGTGCGCGGCCTCGAGGGCGACCAATTTGCTCTCGAATACTTTTTTACAAATCCCCAGCTGCGCGTGAAACGGCCCATTTCCATCCCTGAAAGCCTGAAACTAATCCCATTATCTCGATGCAAAGCTGCAACTAATCTAATTATCACAATTTGTTTTATTGCTTAAGGCGGACGTCAATCGAACCTAGAATCATCAACGAGGCAATAAAATGAGCGACAAAAATGACCAAGTTGCATGTACGCGAAGGTCATCCTCGATGAAAATTACATTTTTCACCTAAGGCACGTAATTAGGCGAAAGCGGACTGACAGCAAATTCTTTCAAATTTCACAATTTAGTTTGAAACAATAATTCCTTGGAAGCAACTAATTAATTATGCGCTAACTACTTCAAACCTAAAATTTAAAAATGTTTATTGGCTGTTTTGGAGCAAATTGAGCTTATATTAATTAATTATCAAGTGGACTCTAATTAAAGCTACCGAATTTGTTACAGCTATTTTTCCTTCCGCTTTTTTCTAGGTACCACTTTTTTGATTTCCCTCGTATTCTAACTGATGGGCAATTTTTTGTTGTAATCCTCCATAAAAATGATTTAAGACACCTCCGTCCATGGGCCTCCATAAAAATAAGATTTATGAAAACATCCTCGACTACACCATCAATTTTATTTACGCGACTGGGCTTACTATTCGGAGTAGTTACCTAATGGGAGAAAGAGGAATTCCGACGGGTGCAAGGTTGATTACCTAGACCTCTATGAACAATTGATGACATTAACGACATCAGGGATGTTGCAACATAAATTTTATTTTTTTATGACCTCTCTGAAAATCAGATCATAACGTAAAATTTAGATGCATGATATAGTACCCATTACCTACACTCGTGCGTAATGTACCCATTACGTACACCCGTGAGTAATGAAAAATATTAGAATTGTTCATGTGCGTTTGAATGTGAGAATTATCTACAAATGTCAAAACTTTCGACAGATGTCGTTTTGGGTTTTGCCTTATTTTCATTTTCAACTGCACGGAGATCATAGAAAAAGTATGACGTAATACCCACTATTACAACCTTATGACCCACTATTACAACCTTATGACGTAATATACTATTTTGCAACTAGTCTTACTTTTGTGATCATTTGTTCAGAATAATGATAAAAGGATAAAATGGAATGCTAAAGCTACAGAATTTTTACTTTCGAAAGGATTCTAAAAGAAATGCTTTTATGAGGACATCCTAGGTTGCAATTAAAATTTTATCTTTCCGACGACTTTCACATCCCACAAGAAATGTAGAAAAGGTAGAAAAAATTGTATTTTAAAGGCTTCCTAGGCTTCCATAAAAAGTTGAAGACTTATCCTCCAAGTCGGCACGCCAATGGCCTTGATGATTTTACTTGCTTTACTTATATATAAGTACCCTTTGTGGATTATGTGGTTTGATACAGGAAATAATGGAGTATTGATACATCCAAAACATAATTTGGCTAAATTTATGACAAGAAAAATTGGGTCCCCATCAAAATCAAAATCGATACGTTATCTGGATCATACATTGAAATTAATAAATACTGTCAAATGCACGAAACACATCGACTGCGTATTTATGATGCAAACGTTATAGGTTACCATAAATCATGAAACATCCAGGTATTTAATACGACCCAAGTGTTCAATAATTACGAAAAGGTAGAGTTTCCTTCCAATCTTCAGCCATTTCATAGCAATCTTTGATCTAGCGGCAAATGCTTTATAAAATAGCAGCGTTATAAACCATGAAAACTGTATATGTAATGGCAGCTTTCGTCGCACAACGTGATTTGAAGAGTAAATAGGTCAACGCATTTACCTCTTTTAAAACTGCTCGATTCTACACGTTGATCTATTGTTGATCTGTATAGAAAACTACTTGTGAAACAATATCCAGCACGTTTTCCACTAAATATTAGTAATTTACGGCACGTAAAAATACGCCAAGCTCGTCTTGTGTCCCTCGACGCGTCTCTGTCTATCTGAAAGCGCACTGCAATTGGTTGCTTTATAATTTCAAAAGTTTTATGAACAATTTACACAAAGGTATACCGCTTCATAGAAAGGCATATCTCGAATAAGGGCGATAACAAAGTGTGCATTTTTGAGATAAAAATCTACTGAGACCGACTTCTAAATGGTTTTTTTGGCAGACTCTCGAAGAGTTAGCATGTACAATTTATGTGTGAATAATTTTATTTCGAATAATTGCTAATATTTTGTGGAGAGAGTGAGCACGCACCACTAAACTCGTGCAAGATTTTTATGTATAAATATAGTTTTTTTTATTTTTTTGCGTTTATTCGTGTATTATTATTAAAATACGATTACGTTCTTGGGAAACATCTAAACGAATGTGTGGTAAAGTACTAGTTACCACGAATTTAACGCAAAAAGGAGAAAAATCAAACGGACTGGTCGCCTGATTCGTACCAAGGCCGTTTATTTACAAGTGATAAAGTTTACGTGAAGGAACAATATCGAATCGGATGAGCGCCTTTCAAATAAAGACTGTATTAAAATAATATACCAACTCTAAAATACATTGTAATAAATTTCCAGATCGCTAATTTGGTCTACAACGGCAGGGAATTTAAAGACAGTTAATCGGTGCATTCATCCGCAGATAACGTTACCATACTAGTGCAAAAAGTCAGTTGTACCATCAAATCTGTTTCCATATTTCTAAAAACATAAAAATATTTATTTATTTACTTTGCCTTTATTTTTAAGTGAGCGGCGTTTCAGCCAATGCTGCTCTACCATCCCGACCCACTATACATTTATAATGCCCAAACACGGATTTGAACCAGGGACCCTGGGCACCGCAGTCCAGCTTCAACTGAATTGCGCCACACGCCTACGCGAATAACTGTAAGTTACCTTCAATTATTTGATTTGTGGAAAAGTTGTGGTCGATTATTTTTGGTGATTTTCATAGTAATTCTACTTCAAGTAATTTTGATATTCCTAGAGGAATCGACGTATTAAAATTTGTACTAGCTAGCCGTTGGTTAAAAATTAATTGCTGCAGTAAATTTTTTCCCAGTGCCATAAAAGTTCAATTTATTAATTAATGCAATTGGGGTCTTAATCCTTGTCAATCTAACTAGCCCGTTATAGAGCACTCCCCTCCCCCTGGATAATAACCAACAGCGCGCTCTACTTCGTCTTAAACTTCCAAACACAAACACCGGGTTTTGGCGATTGTCCCAAAAAATCGAATCTAGTTCAAAGTAGCCTGCACTCTCACCAAACGCGGATCTATTGACTCTACTGCGATCGAGGCGCGAATTAATTAGCAACTCTAATTTTCAGACTACACATTCATGACCCCTTAAGTCCAAAATCCGAATGAATCCAAAAATTTCCCCTTGAGTCGCCTTTTGGCATCCTCCAATCCTGTTTACGCCGCACCCCATTTATGTTTTGCGAAAACTTGGTGTAGATTAGGTTGCCCACCTTCCGTTAACGTTTTGGTAGAAATTTCTATTATTATAAACATTTTAAAACAAATAATGTTATAAATTTCACATTATGTGCGTAATAATGAACGTTTAATTACTCAAATTTGTTTGCTTAGAAATAACCGATATATTGTTTACTAAGATTTAATTATCTGGCGAGCAGGAGTATTTTTTATTTAATTTAGGATTAGGCTTTTCGCTCTTTTCTGGAGGCCCGAAGGAATTCTTTTGATTTCAGTGTTTACTTATAGTAAATGTATTTTGTTAGAAATAATCTTTTGGAATTTACATGAAAATTATTGCTCTTTCACGAAGGGAGTAAAAAGAGTTCTGTTTTAAAGACACACCAAATTTCTCCAAAATATACTGGAGTCTTTGACCCCCCGACCGATACCTCTTATCCAAACCTTTCCATTTTCCCATTGTGGGTACCCTCCTCCGCGACCGAATTTTTGAGCTATTGGGATTTGAACTTTTGACCTTACCGACAGATGTGTCTTGTTCGGCTCTTCCGTTTTCCTTTCTGGAGTACCTTTGAAGTTTTGAATCTTCAGAATTCTCGATTTTCTTCTTTACAATTTTTAAGTTTATTGTGATTCTCAATTCTCAAATTTTCCCATCGTCAGATTTGTGGATTCTTCCGATTTTTCGGTGTCTTTAAATTCAACAGGTGTTAGATTGGTAGTATCCAAAATCGTTGATTTCATTCAATAGTTCCAAATACGTCGCACTCTCATTTTTACAACTCTTTAATTTTTCAATTTTCCAGTTTTCTTTTTTCTTTTAATTTTTTGAATTGTTCAGGTTCCGGTTGCAACACCTCTCTGTGTGAGCTTCTAGACATACCGCAAGGTTCCATATTAGGTCCTGTCTTATTACCTAAATATACACAAGCTGATTATATCATTACCTGCTTTGCAATTTACGCATTTATCCATGACACGCATGTTATTTAGTAATTTCCAACTTCCTATGACTGTTACAAGTGTGGGTATTTTATAAGAAGAAAAAGTCACATACCACAAGTTAATTGCAGTGATTTAGATTGACAACGATTTTTCTTCGCTATTTCACGCACGAAAATTAGTGTCTCTATTAACAAAGTATAAATACCGACCATTAGAAATCAGTAAACAAATTTTACACTTAATATTCCCGGTTCATAAATGGCCATCCGCATGAATAGGTATGTGCAAGAAAATAAATTTCGTTTTATTACCAGAAACAAATATTTAAAATGCTGTTGGGAACAGGTTTAAAAACATTAATTGTGTGATTTGTTAATGGTTACTTTAACTGTGTAATTGAATTAATTATCACCAACTGTATTTTTAAACATTCATATTTTGATGAATCCCGTTTTCTATTATGCAATAAAATGTAAAAATTATAGCTGTTGTATCTTTGTAGGGTTTGAATAAGAATACAATGGTACGGGAACTCAAAAAGTATGATAGTACCGTTTATATTTCTTTTGTGTTAGCCAAACGAGGCAGAGATTGTTTCTCTTATACCAAAGCTTTAGTGTCCAAAACTCTAGTCCAACATCTAAAAGGTACCGATGTAAACTAGTCAGAGACAGGCCCTAGCAATGAACCCTGAGGGACACCGATGGGTTGCAGTGCCAAATTTGGTCGCCGACTGCAATTGTAACTGTACTCTTGCGTGAATCAGGATCGCTTGCGCTTATTAGCGACTCGTTAAAGTTGCAGAAAAATGGGCACGAAACAACTGGCTCTCAATAAAGGCCTATAATTTCGCATAACGTTGAAAGAAAATGGTTAATCGTGCATGAAATAAATGAAATTCTCCATACTGACAGCGCAATTATTCTCAATGCTAATTATAATTATTCCATTATCTCGTATGCGATCATCTGCGGCCGACCGCGAAATTAAACCGATGAAAATTGATACCGGTACGCTTCGTTATCATTCTCTTTTCGAATTATAGTTATCCATTAATTGGCCGCTTTATTCCCAGGAACGTATTAGATACTGAACGTAATTGAAGATGTAATTTTAGAAGTTAATTGACCATATCCATAAGTTTTAAAAAGGAAAAAAAATGATTTACGTGCGCCTAAAAGCAAAATAAGCCGCGAGCTCCCGCAAATTTGGTCTACCTATAAAATTTATTGGCGCCATAAACGCAATGCTGGATATTAAATTATTCCAATTTGATTAACAGCTTTTCGCTAGCCTTACCGATGGATGAAATATTAAATATTTCAAAGTAAAATGTAAACATGCAAAGATTTTAAGGCATCGTATTGAGTTGCGTACTCTGCTAATGCTCATTAATTAATTAACAAAGCGATGTTATCATTATTACTGTTGAGTTTCAATCAGCCAAGTTGTAAAGATTCAATAAAATATTTTTTATACAATTTCTTAAGGTGAACCGATCGTTATTTTTATACAAATCAAGAAAAATTACAGTATGTTACATATATCGCTCTCTGAACACGATGGTTTAGTCCTACAGTACAAATTTGTCCGGCCCTACTCCTAGTGGTGGTTCCAACAGGATTCCGTATGCAGAAAACATTGTAGCGTAGTAAAAATGCATGGTCGAGAAATAGATACGTAACGATAACCTCGTGTGTGTGTGAAGGTGTGTGCGAGCATGAAAAGGAAATTAATTATTTCAATTTGTATTTCACCGACATAAGGCATACTCGCGTGGAGTTAAGTATTTATATTATACCGTTAAACATTGTAAGATAAAGCGCTTATTGGGTAAAAGCTTAAAAACGCGGTACCTATAAATATGAGTGCAAATAGTGGGAAAGCAGCATTCGTTAAACGACCGTAGTTGGCGCCAAATCTGGGTCAGTCATCATCGCATAGCGCGTCGTGCACTTTCAAGTCAAACCGTCCTCTCCTAGGTGGATTCTAACCTAAAGCGAGAAATCATATCCGCCAAGCCATTTTTCGACAATAAAACAATAGACCTACTGTTACCAAGCGGCTCGTGCGCGGGAGCCCTAATATACACATACATACTATTACTATTACGCACGTTTTACTATCAAAAACAGCTTCTCCGGAATTAAGTTAAGGTATAGGCTACTTTTTGCAAACAATTCCAGGACTCTAGGGCCATTCTCCTAGGAGTAGTTCAAAACGGTAGAAGTGGGTCCGGACGGACGGACGGACAAAACCAGGGACAAAACGCAAGCAATAACACATTTTTTTTCGTTCTAAAAATGCGCTAAAAATATATATATTGTAGTGTACTTATCCCCCAGGTTCTACGCTAACTTCACACTACAAGAACACGGAAATAAAGTCAACCCGGCAACGTTTAAAAATGGCCACCCGAATGACTATTCCCTCCAAAACTAAACAAGATCCCGCTTAAATTTGAAAAGTGGCACGTGATCAAACATCTAAGGCAGGGTCCCCTTACGTTAGTTGTAGACAACGCTTTGACCTGAAGGACAGTAGGGAAGGAACTTAAAATAAAACACTCAAATTGTGAAAAGTTTGTTTAATAATGATTGCAATTATTAAGATTGTGAAAACTCGGAAATTTAAGTCGAAATAGATTAAATTGCAAAATAAACTTTGAAAATGGTAGTTCACCGAATAAAAATAGAAATAGGCTGGGAAAAAAAGAACTTACCAATAAAAAAACCAGCTGTCAAATTAATATTAAATTGTGTAGTAAAATTAATTGTTTGTAATGATGTAAATGCGTAACTTAAAATTATAACATCACAAAAAGTAGCATGTAAACTTCAAGAGGTAACAAATAGGTTAAAAACAAGTTTTGGGAATTATGGGTCAGGTAAGCAGGTACCAAGATTCTAAGAAGGGGTGAAATACACAAGGATGTGACTCATCTTTGGTGCAATAAAGTCCTTTTGTTAAAAGCAAAATGGAAAATTACATGGCCTTGTAGGCAAATTTAACTAAAACAAGATATGTGGAAATTATTGAATCGCCACCCATTCATCGCACATAGATTCTAAACTGAAGAACTTTGATTAGCGTAATCTCGCCCCCGCAAGATAGGTAGCGTCGCCCCTCGTTCGGGGTTTCGAGCCTATAGTGTCGAAGACAATCATGGAATTAGTTGTCGTAGCTCAATTTTGACTGCAGTTTTTACCACCCCCGTGACTCCTTCAGTCACGGAGAAAATTGTTAGTTACAAACAACAAGTCAATACATACATCAAACGAATCGGTAATTTCCACATATTAAAATAAAATGATTAAAACTTATATGAATGTTACTTCACGGACAAGGCCAAGTAATCTACATCAATAAACATAAATTAAGCAAGCATTACACCAAAAACGTAAACAATTACAAACAATAGCAAAACGGTGTTTAACATGTCATTCTGCATTGCGGTTAAATCAAGTAAATTTCAAAATCAAAGATTGAAACACACAAAAAATATAAAATGCGGCATACAAAACACAAATACGATGTAAAGAAATGCAAAAATTACTACCTGCATTAAATAACACAAAATAACAACAAACATTTATGGAGCGACGCGTTCACGACGGCCGTTCAAGACAAGATGCCCAACGTAACACCCGTCCGTGCTTTTTTAGATGGCGCAGACAGCTTTTCCCCACCTAGAAATTGCATGATTGCCAACTCTCAAAAATGTATGTATCGTCGTAAGTTGTATATACAGGGTGGAACCTCTCAATATATGCTTTCAAATTTAATTAACTTGTTACCTTCAGTAGTTGTATTTATTATCTTGCGACCTCTGTAAAGTTATGACAGAGTTTTCGGTTTCGGACGGGCACTTCCTTCCGAAGCGTTAGCTAGGTAACCGTATCTTATAGAAGATTACTACGAGGAAGGCGAGGCCCTTCAGGCATTGTTCAGTTCTTTTCATTCCGAGCTCTGCGGCTTGGGATTCTTTTGTTTGCAGATTGTATGGAAATCCGGGAACTGAGCTCACTTCTCTGGATGACATATCCATTTAAATAAAGGTAAGCGTTGCGTTTCTTACGTTTTACTTGTATTTGGCCATATGTGTATGCATTTGTGTTCGAAACATCTATTTATTTGTAAAAATTCAGTAATTAAGGTCCCGGAGAGCTCACCGCCACCTAATTAATTGGCATTTTCAAACACTTTACATTTCAAACATATTTTTATACTTAAGGTTACAGGAAGATGATACTTCGATTGGCATATTAATTAGCATACATACAATGCAAACACAATGGGTGAATTCAACCTTGGAAAATTCAAGTATTGTGCTTCCACTTGTTTTAAGTTTCACTAATCAAAACCACATCCTTAATTTACTCTTAATAACATCCACAAAAAGCCTCATTGTGAAATTTATTTTTTTGGAACACAGCGTAACCCGCTTACTTTAGATTAATCTTTTAGGTTTTCATCAGGAAGTTAATAGTCGATAATGCGTAATTAACTAAAATAAACACGTTCTTATCGTAAGATATCTGTATAACAGCTTGCCGCTTACTCTGATCCAAGTATTTCACAGTAGCGGCCATGGAGAAATGGGAAGGGAAACTTGCAATAGTCACAGGAACTTCCTCCGGCATCGGCCGAGGAATTGCAATCAAATTGGTGGAGGCTGGACTGCGCGTGAGTGCTTCCCATTGATTTTGCTGGGACCGTAACGCATTTTCAGGTTGTGGGTATTGCAAGACGCGAGAATCTCGGTCGCGAACTAGAACTGGCTTTGGCTGGAGAAAAGGGTAGATTCTATCATCTAACCGCCGATATTACCAAGGAGGAGGATGTGCTCAAGGCGTTTGAATGGGTCGAAGAAAATTTGGGAGCGGTTCACATTTTGGTAAATAACGCGGGTACGACGCGTGAAACTACACTTGTCGATGGGACGACGACGTCCTGGAAAGAGGTTCTGGACCTTAATATTATGGGTTTATCCATGATGACAAGAGAAGCTGTAAAATCGATGCGAGCGAACAATATAACTGGCGAAATCATACATATAGGAAGCTTGGGAGGTTGCATAACATCATCCCCTGTGAAGGGATTACGAATGTATTGTGCCAGCAAGCATGCGGTACGAAACTTGACAGAAGGGTTGCGAGCGGAACTGCTCGAAGTAGGTAGCGAAATTAAAGTCTCGGTAAGAATTACAAGTGACTCTCTTCGAGTAAGATCACCTTTCAGTGCATCCATCCTGGATTGGTCGAAGATACCGAAATTGGTGAGTACAATGCAGCGGTAAAGGGGTTGTTTCCCTTACTCGAATATGTATTGAAACCTGAAGACATCGGAGATATGGTTTTGTTTGTACTTTCGAGACCACCTCACGTTCAGGTACCTTTTATACCTATATGTATAACCAACGCAATAACGTTGTCTACCCATAGATTCACGATGTTCTGGTTAGACCAATCGGTGAACCGCTTTAAAGAAGTCCACTTCAATTAAATTCTGTCAATAAATAAGCACCTCATACTAGATGTACCTTTAGTTCCATCCAATTTGCACCGTGCAGCGTCTTTGAAAAAGAAAGAAAGGCGAAATATTCCCAATGGTGTATTAATAATGTGAAGTAATCACGTTCTTCGTGCGTGCATGACGCAGTATGTGGTCTTTGAGTAAATAGAAAAAAAATATGAATAGCCGTCAAGTCTTTAAATTAAGAGCTGCCAATTTTCTATTAACCAAGCTCTCATACATCATTACGTACGCGAAGCAATGGACACGATTTACCGTTACACAAATCAAAGATGGTAATTGTGATTGAAATTCGAGCGCCGATTCATTAACGGGACTTTGTTGTAAATTACCAATCAATAGGTACGTGTCCATAATTTTAATGTCTTCATACGCTCCATGTTCGGGGTTGCTACAACTTTAAAAGCGCCAAAGTTCTTTGTGACTTCAACACAAACTTTACACCCCGATCTTTCTATCTTTTCAAAAAAAGATTTAAAATTCGCGCCTTATAACAATCACTGATCAGCATTTTTGCGAAACTGTAGTCCTTTTCGTTGACCTGATGGTAATCTCTTCTATTACAATGCGCCACTACACGACATTGCTTTTCTGATACCTTTAAAATCCTCAGGACTGGCTTTCAGATATCAATGTGAAACCCTGAGGAGGTATTCTTAAGCAGCTTCTTAAAAACCTATAAAAATCCTTCTAAAACCTATAGAAACGAAGAATAGGTTTTCGCCCTAAAGCCAGTAACCTTGGCGCACTTCTCACGCATTGTTCAGTATTTTCCAAAAAGCCATAGCTATGTTTTTTTTTACTAAAAACACAAATAACAACATTTGAATCGCGCAGTCCGCGCATGGGCATCTCTGATTTTTACAATATAATAATAATAATAATATATTTATTGCGTAAATGTAAAACAAACATACAAAAGGCAAGAATTCGACGTGGTCGATCTTCCATCTTTCCATTTGCCTTTACATTGATCGTAAAAATTTTTTTGGTTCAGGTTCCAGAGCTATAAGCCTTCGATTGCAAAAACGAACTAAATACCTTAAATAATAAACTAAACAAATATGGAAAACGAGCTCCTGGGTATGGCTATAGCATGTGCAAAACCAATTTTTACACCTGTTGTTAGTTTTCATTTAATTGCTTCCATAAATAAGAAAGTTGGCACTGCACATCCTACACAAAACCAAATTTGTAAAATGGCGCTACATTTGGCTTTATTCCAAGTGGCTATGTATCACATTTCATTTAAATGCCTCCATAGATAAGAAAGTTAGCACTGCTCATGCGCAAAATGAAATTTTGAAACTGGCGTTAAATTTGGTTTTATTCCAAGTGGCGTACATATGTATCAAATTCTAATTAAATGTCCAATGGTTATATTTCTTCCAAACGTCTCAATTGCGCTTTGTAGATTCTTTCCTTTGACAATTCACTCTTAAGATATAAGGAATTATAACCGATCACGACAAGGGATCGAGGAGGAAGAGTATAGTTAGTATAAATTAATTCCTTTCGTTGAGATCTTTCATTAGAGTACCATGAAGGATAAAACTATTTCCAGTCTCCCCCCCTTTCCCCACCCCCGTACTTTGATAAGAGTGCAAAAAGAAGAGCAGTAGTTTGTAGAAAACTGTTCCTTTCGTTGAGACCTTTAATTAAAATACAATGAGAGATAAAATTAATTTAACCCCCCCCCCCTCAGGCCCCGTCGCTCACTGATCTCGTAAAAGAGTCGATCGAGAAAGTTATAGTTTGTACAAACCAATTTATTTCTATGAGACCTTTTATACCATGAAGGGCAGACCATGTGTTTAACCCCCCCCATTTTCTAAAGTTTAACTTGGCACCACCATTGAATAAAAACACTATAAGAAGCCTAACGCTTATGGAAGAAAGCGCGACAAATCCCCTTGCACCCGCATTGGTTGTGACCAGCGAACTCTCTTTGCGGTAAATAGGAGGAAAGCAAATTCTCATTCTTCTCAGTTCAAGAATCGACACTATTGACAGTGTTCCCATTATATTCTCAGTTCAATCTCTGTCGCGCTTTATATAAATTTTTATAAATTTATGCACGTTTTACGTACGATTCGATTTAAGTACGATTCGTACTTTTTCGATTAGACTTCCCAATCAAAAGTATGGACTAGAAACCAATTTCGAAAGAAAATTCAAAGGGCTGTAACTTTTGATCTAGTAGCCCAATCTTGGAATTCTTTGAAATTATGGATTCTACAGGCCACATTCTGTAAGAAAATGTTTTTTCTCGGTCGATCTGAGACAATTTTCTTTTCCAGCCTTAAAAAAAGGCAGTGTATAACCTTCCTTTTTACCAAAAATCGACTACATGAAAATTTCTCGGGAAAACACTTTTTCTTATTAACTTTGGTGCGTAGAATCCAAAACGATTCGTACTTTTTCGATTAGACTTCACAATTAAAAGTTATGGACTAGCAACCAATTTCGAAAGAAAATTCAAAGGGCTGTAACATTTGATCCAGTAGCCAAATCTTGGGTCTGTTTGGAATTATGGATTCTACAAACCACATTCTATAAGAAAATGTTTTTTCCCGGGCGATCTGAGACAATTTTTTTTTCGGGCCTCAAAAAAAGGCAGTGTATAACCTTCCTTTTTTACCAAAAATCGACTACACCAAAATTTCTCCAGAAAACACTTTTTCTTATTTAAAGGGCTGTAACTTTTGATCCAGTAGCCCAATCTTGGAACTAATTTTTTCGGGCCTCAAAAAAAGGCAGTGAAAAAAATTCCAGGGCCCCTAGAAGTAGTTCAAAACGGTAGAAGTGGGACGGACGGAAGGACAGAGCGCAAACAATAGCGCATTTTTTTAATTCTTAAAAAATGTGCTAAAAATCCAGGAGTGTAAGACCAATTGTGTCTGGACGGACAAAACGCAAGCAATAGCACATTTTTTTTGTAATTCTTAAAAAATGCGTTAAAAACTGTAGGAGTAGTTGCGGCTTCGGATGGACGGACGGAGGTGGCCGTAATTTATTGATTTATTGATGAAATTTGCTTGCTCAACTACAGGTTTTACCCCAATTACAGTTGAGCAGTACTTACATACATTTACATTTAAGTGAGTAAATGAAATATAACTCAAATATAACAAAGTACACAAGAAATAAAATAATAATTAGTAATTAAGTAGTTGCCGAACTAACTAGTAGTTACTAGCTACAGAGGACACAAAAAAACAAAAAGGCACTAGGAATAAAATATAAATTAGATGCCCTTATAATTATAACGATCACGGCTAACAATATTTGAAACTTAAACAAAAACTTAAACAAAAAAGCATTCTGTACTTTTGCCAAAACTAACGAGTTACATGATTGGAGCAGGGAAATCACGAATCAGACGAGTTACAAGAATGATGTTATAAGATTCTCTACAATACGTGCAGATAGCATTTCTTTTTAAATTCGTGAAGGCAGTCTCCAAATATATCCAACTGTGGTGGTAATTCATTATATGTGCGCAACATACTAATTAATGGTGAATGTTTGAGGACATAGCGCTAAACATCCGTCGTTATGACAACGAGTTTTTAATACAGTACAATTAATTCCGTTTCTATACGGAGAGCGCGTCCCCAATTAAAAAATATTACCTCGCGTAACTTTTATCACTCGTAGACGAATGTCACCAATGTATTTCCACTCAAAACAAAAACCGGTATCACTTTGCCGGGACTTGATTAGGCTTTCTCCGACAGCCACTTGGCGCGCCTAAGATATTATGTAACTGTTCGCGAAATTAGATCGTCTGCCCGGCGGCACTTGAATTTTTACCCACTTTTCCGCAATCAAGGAGTACGTGTTTACCCTTTGAACGTTTCTTCGAAACCATGTGTACACGGTATCACTTTATATTTCCAAACGTACTTTTGTCCATGTTCGCTATAAAGCGGTATATTTGTAACGTCTCTGAAGCGGACAAGACAAGTATGAGCCCACAAAATTGCTCAATGTTTTATTATTTTGAGCTGTTTTTTTAGCTGTTCGCCGGTAAGTACCTATCGTTTGTAATTTTTGAGTTCTTATAATTAGTTCACAAATCAATTCTGAACAAATGCTCCTTATTTTTACCCCAAAAAACAAACTATAAACGAACTTTTCTACTTCTACAGCGACTACCTCGTTATATCCTTCTAATAATTTTCCTAAACATCTGTTCAGGAATCTTGATCCTGAAAATCCCATTAGAAACCGTTTCAAAGAAAATTGATCAGGAACCACCACCGTTTTGGGCTGTTTTAATTTCAAAAATTATGTTCCACACGACCAATGTCGCAAATTTTTTCATAAATAAAATTTTGTATACAACCGAGCATGTGGAAGGAAATTTAAAAACAATTAATGGTTTATATATCCGCAACAAAATCTAGTTAAATTAAAGTAAATTGGGAAAAATTAATATCAACACAGCGGAGCATTGACATTTTATTCCTTTGCACGATCTCCAGTATTACTTTCGCGAAATTGACGCCGGTCTGCTTGGATTGGCAATTAGCGAACTTTTTTCTGCCAAACTTAGTAGGTAGTCATCACGAAAATAACGTTAACAGGGTGGTGTTTAAAAAAAAGTCAAGTGTATCGACGAATAAACAATTTCATATTTCTAAAAAAGGCGGCATTTTCCAAGGAGAGATAAGATCAATTTCTTATCAGAAGAGAGTATTCCCCACGGCAATAACTGTAAGTTAATTTACATTCTTTGATTTGTATTAAGTAGTGGTCGGTTATTTTTAGGAATTTGCATAAAGAATTTTGTTCGAAGTAATTTTAATATTCCTAAAGAAATCGACCCGTGAAAAGTACTTGCATAAAACAGAATTGAGCTACATACAAACATAAGCCACTTGAGGCCGTGTTGGTCGTACCACCCACCCACAATGGCCCTCTTGCCAGAACATCCGGATTCGTTGTTGCACAAAGATGTACCACCACCAGATCTAAGCACGAAGGATACTTATTATACGACCAAGGGAGGTAGATCAAAGTCGAAGTTGACTGACGTAACAGTCACGAATGCTACCAAAATGGACGTGTCCTACCCTAAGGTTGCATTCTGTTAATGATTTCATTTGCCAATTTCAATGAAAGATTCTGTTGTATGCACCA